CATCATCATCATCATCAGCACCATCATCATCACCACCACCACCATCATCACCATCATCATCATTGTCGTCAGCATCCTCATCAACATCAGCATCATCGTCATAATCGACATCATCATCAGCATCATCCATCATATCATCCTCATCATCACCCTCATTATCATCTTCATCATCATCCTCATCATCGCCACTATCAGCATCATCCTCATCAGCATCATCAGCATCAGCATCAGCATCGTCATCATCATAATCCTCAGCATCCTCGTCATCATCACCATCATCCTCATCTCCATCATCAGCATCCTCATCATCACCACCATCAGCAGCATCATCAGCATCAGCAGCATCGTCATCATCAGCATGATCGTCATCAGCATCATCAACATCATGATCATCAGCATCATCACACTCATCAACATCAGCATCATCGTCAGCAGCAGCATCATCAGTATCAGCATCATCATCATCAGCATCATCATCAGCATCACCGTCGGCAGCAACAGCAGCATCAACACCAGCAGCATCAACATGTATCCCTGTTCCTCCTCCCCAATCATCCTCTCCCCCTTCCTCATATTCCTCCTTCTCCTCCTCCTCCTAACTCCTCCTCCTCCTCCTAACTCCTCCTCCTCCTCCTCCTCCTCCTCCTCTCTCCTCCTCCTCCTCCTCCTCCTCCTCCTCCTCCTCTCCTCTTCATGGTCCTCCTCCTCCTCCTCGTCATGGTCCCTCTCCGACGCCGCCGCCGCCTTCGCCTCCTCCTCTTCCTCCTCCTCCTCCTCCGCCTCCTCCTCCTCCTTCTCCTCCTCATCCGCCGCCTTCCCATCCTCCTCCACCTCCTCCGCCTCCTCCGCTCCTCCGATCCGCCTCCGCATCCGCATCCACCTCCGCTTTCGCCTCCTTCCTCCTCCGTCTCCGCCGCTCCTCCTCCGCCGCCTCCTATCCGCCTCCGCACCCGCATCCCCCTCATCCCTCGTCCCCCTCCTCCCCAACCTTCTCTCCTCCTCCTCCTCCTCCTCCTCCGCCTCCGGCCTCCTCAGCCTCATCCTCCTCCATCCTCCTCCTCCTCCTCCTCCTCCGCCCCTCCCTCCTCCTCATCTCATCATCATCATCATCATCTCATCATCATCATCATCATCATCATCATCATCATCATCATCAGCATCATCACAATCATCATCATCACCATCATCTGCATCAGATCAGCACAAACATCAGCATCATCATCATCATCAATCATCATCATCATCACATCATCATCATCATCATCATCATCAGCCATCAGCGTCAGCATCAGCATCATTCATCATCATCCATCATCATCATCACGTCATCATCAGCATCAGCATCAGCAGTCAGCATCAGCATCAGCATCATCATCATCAGCATCTCTTCATCAGCATCAGCATCATCATCATCATCAGCACCAGCAGAATCATCAATCAGCATCAGCATCATCATCATCAGCAGCATCATCATCAGCATCAGCATCAGCATCATCCTCATCATCATCATCATCATCAGCATCATCATCATAATCAACATCAGCATCATCATCATCAGTATCATCAGCATCATCAGCATCATCAGCATTACCATCATCATCATCGTCATCATCATCAGCATCATCGTCATCATCATCCTCATCATCGTCCTCATCCTCATCCGCATCCTCATCCGCATCATCATCATCATCAGCATCATCATCAGCAGCATCATCATCATCGTCATCGTCATCAGCATCAGCATCATCAGCATCCTCATCCGCATCCTCATCCGCATCCTCATCATCATCATCATCATCATCATCATCATCATCATCATCATCATCATCATCATCGTAAGCATTGTCATCATCATCATCAGCATCATCATCATCAGCATCATCATCATCACCCCCACCACCACCACCACCATCATCATCATCATCATCAGCATCATCACCATCAGCAGCAGCATAATCATCATGATCCTCCTCCTCGTCCTCATCGTTTGCCTCTTCCTCCTCCTCCTCCTGCTCCTCGCCTCCTTCCCCCTCCTCCTCCTCCTCCTCCTCCTCCTCCTCCTCCACCTCCTCCTCCTCCTCCTCCTCCTCGTCCTCCTCCACCTCCTCCTCATTCTCATCCAAATCCTCATCCTCATCCCCCTCCTCCGCCCCCATGTGATGTCCTCATTCCCTCCTATCCCATCTCCCTCTCCCTCCTCTTCTCCTCCTCCTCCTCCTCCTCCTACTCCTCCCTCCTCACTCTCATCATCATCAATCATCATCATCATCATCATCATCATCATCATCATCATCATCATCAGCATCATCATCATCATCATCATCATCATCATCATCATCATCAGCATCAGCATCAGCATCATCATCATCATCAGCATCAGCATAAGCATCAGCATCAGCAGCAGCATCATCGTCATCGTCATCGGCATCATCATCATCAGCATCATCGTCCATCATCAGCTTCAGCAGCATCATCATCATCATCAGCAGCAGCATCATCATCAACGCATCAGCATCAGCATCATCATCATCATCATCATCAGCATCATCATCCTCATCATCATCATCATCATCATCATCATCATCATCATCATCATCAGCATCATCATCATCATCAGCCTCATCATCAGTTTCAGCGGCATCATCATCATCAGCAGCATCATCAGCATCATCATCATCATCATCAGCATCATCATCGTCATCGGCATCATCATCATCAGCAGCATCATCATAATCCTCATCATCAGTTTCAGCAGCATCATCATCATCATCATCATCATCATCATCATCATCATAATCATCAACAGCATAATCATCATCATCATCATCATCAGCAGCAGCAGCATCAGCATCAGCATCATCATCAGCATCATCAGCATCATCATCATCATCATCATCATCACCATCATCATCATCATCATCATCATCATCATCATCATCATCGTCATCAGCATCGTCGGCAGCAGTAGCAGCAGCATCAGCATCAGCAGCAACATCAACAACAGCATCATCATCAACATTATCATCATCATCATCATCATCATCATCATCGTCATCATCGTCATCATCGTCAGCAACTTCATCATAATCACCAGCAGCTTCATCATCATCATCAGTATCATCAACAGCGTCAGTATCGTCATCAGCATCAGCATCATCAGCAGAAGTAGCATCATCATCATCATCAGCATCAGCATCATCATCAGCATCAGCATCATCATCATCAGTATCATCATCACGACCATCATCAGCATCAGCATCAGAATCAGCGTCAGCATCATCATCATCATCATCATCATCATCATCATCATCACCAGCATCATCATCATCATCATCATCTCATCAGCATCAGCATCATCACCATCATGAGAATCATCGTCGGCATCAGCATCATCAGCATCAGCATCAGCCTCATCATCATTATCATCAGCATCAGCATCGTCATCCGAAGCATCATCATCATCAGCATCATCATCACCTGCAGCATCATCATCATCATCATCAACAGCATCAACGGCATCAGCATCATCATCAGCATCATCAGCGTTCCAGATCATCATCATCATCAGCAGCATCAGCCGTATCATCATCGTCATCGTCACCGTCATCATCATCGTCATTATCATCTGCAGCATCAACAGCAGCTGCAGCAGCATCAGCATCGTAATCATCATCAGCATCATCGTCATCATCACCATCATCATCAGCAGCATCGGCATCATCATGATCATCACCATTATCAGCATCAACCTGTTAGCAGCATCACCCGCATCAACATCACCAGCAGCAGCATCATCATCATCATCGTCATCATCATCAGCATCAGCATCATCATCATCATCATCATCATCATCATCATCATCATCATCATCGTCAGCGTCGTCCTCGCCGCCGCCGTCATCAGCATCACTGCCAACCTCATCATCATCAGCGTCAGCATCATCATCCTGAACAGCAGCCGCGTCATCGTCTTACTTATCAGCATCATAATCAGCATCAGCATCATCATCATGTTCCTCATCATCATCATCATCATCATCATCATCATCATCATCATCATAAGCAGCATCATCATTATCATCCTCATCAACAGCGGCATCATCATCCTCCTCAGCTTCGTCATCATCACCATCATCAGCAGCATCACCATCGTCAGCATCATCAGCATCAGTATCGTCATCATCATCAGCATCATCGTCAGCATCAGCAGCATCATCAAGACCAGCGTCATCATCATCACCAGCAGCATCCGCATGATCAGCATCATCATCAGCATAATCAGCATCATCCTCATCCTCTGCCTCATCCTTATCCTCATCCTCATCATCATCCTCATCATCATCCTCAAGCTCCTCCTCATCATCATCCGCCTCCTCCTCCTCTTCCTGCTCCTCCTCCACCTCCTCCTCCTCCTCCCCCTCCTCCTCCTTCTCCTCCTCCTCCTCGTCCTCCTCTTCCTCCTCCTGCCCCTCCTCCTCCACGTCCTCCTCTTCCTCCTGTTCTCGTGGCGTTCCGCTTGAAGCGTCAGTAACCCTACTCCACCTCCTCCTTCTCAGCCTCATCTTCCTCCTCCCCCTCCTAACTCCTCCTTCCCTCCGATCCAAGCTTCTCTTCGACCTTCTCCTCTTCCTCCTGTTTCCTGGTGCCTGCTTCAAGGTGGCGTTCCGCCTGATGCGTCAGTACTCCTCCTCGTCCTCCGCCTCCTTCTCCTCATCATCATCATCGTCCTCCTCCACCCCCCTCCTTACTCCTCCTTCTCTCCTATCCCTCCTCCTCCTCCTCCTCCTCCTCCACATCCTCCTCTTCCATTTGCTGTTACTGGGGCATGCTGAAAGGTGGCATTCCGCCTGAGGCGTCAGTAACCCTCCTCCTCCTCCTCCTCAGTCTCCTCCGTCTCCTCCTCCTCCTCCTCCTCCTCCTCCTCCTCCTCCTCCTCCTCCTCCCCCTCCTCCTCCGTACTACCCCCCCTTCCCCCGCACCCTCGGTCGGCAGGCCGCACGATCCTCCAGCTGCGAGGCGTCCTCCTGGAAGGCCTCGCGCAGTCGGGCCCGCGCCAGCCGCAGCCTCTGCAGCCGCTCGAGGAGCCCGAAGCGCTCCTCGTCGCAGTCCTCCCGCAGGCGCCCCCGTTCGCCTCTTCGCGGCGGCGGGCGAGGGGGGGAAGTCAGGAGGAGAAGGCCCCCTCCGAAGGCGGCGGGACTTCTCGGAAGCGCCGCAGCCGTCTGAGAGGCTTTCTGCGTCTCCGGGGAAGGCTCAGGGAACTTCTCGGAAGGCCAGGGGACTTACAAGCCTTCTGAGAAGGCCCGCCCCTTCTCACTTCCCCCCTCGCTCGCCACCGATCTTCCCGTTCAAGGCAGACAGAAAACTGCACTACCATCAAATATTCGGAGCCCCGCACGGAGCTCTTGGATCTACGCTGCCCCCCCCCCTGGCGGCGCCTCCGGCGCCCACCCTGGCGGCCTCCGCACGACGGGAAGGGGGATCCAGCGCCTTTCCTAGAAATCCGTGCGACGATCCGAACGCTGATGCTTGTGCAACTGTGTTCTTCGACCTCTGCCTTCGCCCTCCCTCGTCAAGGGCTCAACAACTTCAAGTGCCCTTCGACAGGGCGCAGTAGCTTCTACGACCTGTCCAAACGTATCTGGGCATATCTGGCGCTACCTCAAACTGTCCAAACGTGCACGTCGGAATCACAACGTTTGCTTTCATCGGTCTGTCTGATTCTAGGCCCACAATTCGACGGGAGAGGAGTCGTCAAACCATTCGAGATCCCCCCCGCACAGCACTTCCTTCCTCATCCTCCTCCTCCTCCTCCTCCTCCTCCTCCTCCTCCTCCTCCTCTTCCACCTCCTCCTCCTCTACCTCCTCCTGCTCCTCCTCCTCCTTTGCCTCATCCTTTTCCTCTTCCTCCTCCTCCTCCTCCTTTTCCTCCTCCCTCATCCTAATGCTCCTGCTCCTGTTCTTCCTCCTCCTCCTCCTCCTCCCCCTCCTTCTCCTCATCATCATCAAGCATCATCATCATCATCATCATCATCATCATCATCATCATCATCAGCATCATCATCATCATCATCACCATCATCATCATTGTCATCATCATCAGCAGCATCATCAACATCAGCATCAGCATCCTCATCAACAATATCATCATCAACAACAACATCATCAGCAGCAGCGGCATCATCAGCATCCTCATCATCATCATCCTCAGCATCATCATCATCATCATCATCATCATCATCATCATCATCGTCGTCGTCGTCGTCGTCGTCGTCGTCGTCGTCGCCGTCGTCGTCGTCGTCGTCGTCGTCGTCGTCGTCGTCGTCGTCGTCCTCGTCATCATCCTCATATCCGTCCTCATCCTCATCCTCCTATTACACTTCCTCACCTCATCCTCCTCCTCCTCTTCCTCTTCCTCCTCCTCCTCCTACTCCTCCTCATCCTCCGACTCCTCCTCCTGCGCCTCCTTATCCTCCTCTTCCTCTTCCTCCTCCTCCTCTCCTTATCCTCTTTCTCTCTGTATTAGTCTTCTTAGGACGATTAGTATGGTGATTACCAATTGTTTCTGATTAGTGGTGTAAACATTATGAATAGTGCTAGTAGTTTCAGTAGTATGCTTACTACCAGCATCATGAATCTCATCAGTAGTGTGATTAGTGACGCGATTAGTGTAAAACCATGATTACTAATAGCATCATGAATCTTATTAGTAGTATGATTAGAGATGTGATTAGTGTAAGTAGTAGTACTCGCAGTAGTATCACTGATAGTCGTAGTAGTAGTAGTATCGTTGCTAGTTGTAGTGTTATTGGCACTCGTAATATTATGTGTAGATCCATTAACATGTTATTAGTATGATGGCGACCATTCGTAAGAATAAGAATGTTGACATTAGTATAGTGTTACTGGTATGTGTTACTATAAGTAGTATGAGTATCAGTATGCGTGTTAGTCTTACTAGCAGTGGTCATATTGGCAGTGTTACTTGTGTGATTCTGTGTAGTAGTATTACGAACTGTATTAATGGTAATACTATGATTACGAATAATGATAGTATGTTTCGTATGGTCATTAGTACTGGTGGTAGCACTGGCATTGTTAGTATTATTCGTGTTACCAGTGGCGTTCGCATTGGTAGCCGTACAGTAACAGTGTGATGTTTCACCGTATTATTAGTAGCGCTCTTAATGTTATGAATAGCGTTAGCGTTCGCAGTCTGCTTGGTAGTCTTATTAGAATTAATACCATAGTTCGCACTAGTAGTCTGCTTCGTACTCCACCTCCTCCACCATCATCCGCCCCCTCCTCCTCCTCACCCCCTCCTCCTCCTCCTCCTCCTCCTCCTCCTCCTCCTCCCCCCCTTCCTCCCCCTCCTCCATACTCTCCTCTTTGTCCTCCTCCTCATCATCATCGTCCTCCTTCCCCTCCTCCTCTCCCCCCCCCTCGTCCTCACCCTCTTCCTCCTCCTCCTCCTCCTCCTCCTCCTCCTCCTCCTCCTCCTCCTCCTCCTCCTCCTCATATTCCGCCTGTTCCTCAGGGTCCTCCTCCTCCTCCTGCATCTCCTCATCCTCATCCTCATCCTCATCCTCCTGTTCCTCCGCCGCATCATCCTCTTCCTCCACGTCCTCCTCCTCCGCCTTTTTCCGCCTCCGCCTCCTCCTCCTCTTCCTCCCCTCATCCTCCTCCTCCTCCTCCTCCTCCTCCGTCGCCTCCTCCTCTTCATCACCATCATCAGCATCATCATCATCATCATCATCATCATCATCATCATCAGCATCATCATCATCATCATCATCATCGTCATCATCATCATCATCATCATCATCATCATCATCACCATCACCATCATCACCGTCATCCTGTTCCTCCTCTTCCTCTTCCTTCTCCTCCTCATCCTCCTCCGCCTCCTCCCCATCCTGTTTCTGGTATTCATCCGCCTTTTCTTCCTCATCCTCCTCCTGGTACATTTCCTTCTCCCTTTCGTGCTCCTCATCCTCCTCATCATCCTGCTCCTGCTCCTCCTCCTCCTCCTCGTACTCCTCCGCCGCACCTGCATCAGCAGCATCAGCAGCATCATCAGCATCATCATCATCACCGCCATCATCATTCTCACCATCATCATCAGCATCATCTTGATCACCAACATCAGCATCACCATTACCAAAAGAATCGTCATCATCAAGAACATCATACGCACCATCATCAGCAGCATCATCCTCATCAGCAGCAGCATCCTCATCATCAGCATCAGCATCCACATCTTCCTCCTGTCAGTAGTAGTAGTAGTAGTAGTAGTAGTAGTAGTAGTAGTAGTAGTAGTAGTAGCAGTAGCGTTACCATTAATAGTATTACAACTATTCTTGGTAGAGAGATACATCGTATGATGAAATACCATATTATTCGCATTCTCGGTTTTAGTGTGTTTCTTAGTGTTCCAACTGTCGTGTTGGTATTCTCCTCATCAAGTATTGGGATTCTTCTCAGTCTCGCTGTGATAAGCAGTATTAGTGCTCGTAGTGGTCGCATGCGTCTTCTTAGTAGTACTACTATTCTTACAAAATTTGAATCGTATTGTAATGATTCGTAGCATTCATATTATTCCTGATACTCCTGACATCAAACTTACTGTACGTATAATGGTTAAGTTCGGTCTTCTACTTAAGATTCACATTCTTCTCCTTATGCATCATTCGTATTCGTATGTTCCCCATTTTCTCACCAGTACTCTTCAGATTGTCATGATTAGTAGTACTCGTATCATCGGTAGTATTGTTATGCGAGTATTACTCATATAAACATGATAGTAAGTATTGTTATTCCTCGCCCTCTTCGTATCCCTCCTCCTCATCCCTCCTCTTTCACCTTTTTTCCTCCTTCTCCTCCATGCCATATCCCTCCTCCTTTTCCTTTTGCCTCCTCCTCCTCCTCCTCCTCCTCCTCCTCCTCCTCCTCCTCCTCCTCCTCCTCCTCCTCCTTCTCAGCCGCCTCCTCCTCCTCCTCGTCCTCCTCCTCCTCCTCCTCCTCCCTCCTCCTCCTCCCCCCCCCCCCCCTCCTCCTCCTCCTCCTCCTCCTCCTCCTCCTCTTCCTCCTCCCCCTCCTCCTCCTCTCAAGTGCGGCGCAGGCCCCGCAGCAATTTCCGTAATGGTTTTTTTTTCGCTCGGCGCCCTAGCCCCGTCTCCGCCTCATCGTGGCACTTGGGTGGCATCGGGGCGACCTCATGTTGTGTGACGTTCAACCGGTGGCGAAGGGAGACGAAAAGTCAGGCTACGCATTTTTGTATTTTCAGTTAGGCCGTGCTTCTTCTATTCATTGGTGGGGAGGGCTGGCGGTACTTCATCATCCTATCTTTGGAGTTATGGAGGAGCTTTGCATAGTGCTACGGTCATGTTTTTCATTTCTCTCTCATCGCCGTCGTGATGTTTATCGACATGTGGGCGTTGGCCACGGAATCCTCACCATCCTGTGTTTCTTCGCCTCGTCGCGGCTGTATTCGGCTGAGCCTGGCCAGCGCAAGGCAGACGCTTTCTTTTGGTGGTTTTTCTGTATTGGCTGAGCCTGGCCCGCGCAAGGCAGACGCAGTTTTTGGTGGGATGGAGTTGTATGGCATACTAGTGAAAAGCATTCCGAGGAACCTGAGCATTTTCTTCAGCGGGACTGGGGCTTGCAATAACGGTGAAGGGCTTTCTTGGTACGTGTGCATCCTCCTGTTCATTTCCGTGTATTTCAGCTCCGTGTCGGGCATCGTCGTCTGAGCCGTGGGAGGGGAGGAGCCATCTTCAAGACTTCGTCTTATGTTCACGATCATGTTCCCCCGCCTCCTCCTCCACCACCTCTCGTTATTAATATAACCCTTATTGTTAGTAGCATTAGTAATACGATTCTTCTTATTCTCATTTCTAACAGTATTAGTATTGCTACGATGAATAGGCCGTTCAGGATATCACTGGTGTAACTTAGAACTAGAACTATTGCTGATATTGTTGTTGTTAACTTACGAAGTCATACTATTACTACAACTACGACTACGACTACGACTACTACTACTACTACTACTACTACTACTACTACTACGACGACGACGACGACTACTACTACTACTACTACTACTACT